GGGCAGCATGGGTACCTCCAAGGAACTACAATTACCGTCAGGAACCACGGGAAGTAAACGGAGGAAAGGATATGGGCAGGGGCAAAGCACATTGGGAAATGTAGTCCGCTCCTGGCCGAAGAGGGCAATCGCTCTGCCTTCCACTCCACTGAGGCTGGAGAAACCAGGTGTTCGGCTTAGAACCCGTTACCGCTAAGGGGAGAAGCCAAGCGTTTAAGCAGTATTCCTGACTTCCCCCACATGAAGGGTGAAATTTTTCTTTTACTCCTATAAAGCATTACAAATATTCCTGGAAGAAATATGGTTGTCTTTCCAATATTTCCAAGTCAGTAAAAACTCCCAGAACTCCCCCACCTCAGGATCCAACTCGTGGGAAAAGGTGGCTCTTTTACAAGTGGGCAAAATGGCTGTCCTCTTAGTTATCCCATTGGTTGCCCTTTGCGTCCTTCAAGGGCGGTTACTAATCACCGATTGGTTCTTTTTCCCTTGAGGGTGGAGGAAGACTTGGCAGAGCTCTCCCGCGGCCTGAGGGGAGATAAAGGGGTGGAGAGAAGGCTGTATGTCTAGGCTTTATTGGATGATCCTCATGTCACTCCAAGAACGTACAGCCCATGATTTGTCGACTGTTCCTCAAAGAGAACGAAGAGGTGGGGCTAGTGCGTGGTGGGAAGGGGCGGGATTCTGCCAGCCCCGGCCGCCGCTGGAGCCGGTGTCCGGGCTGGTGATGGGGTTAATTCCCTTTCGTAAGACTCGTACTTGCACCCACCCAGCCCCGCCGTCGCCCCGCCGCGCCGCACTCGAACCGCCTCCTCCTCCTCCTCCTCAGTAACGCGGGTAAGAGATGCCCCCCACCCCCCTCCGGCTCCCCGGGAATAACGCGCCTCGCTCCCCTCCCCCGCCCGCCAACCGGTAGCGCTAACGGAGAAGGAGGCAGGCAGGGGAGAGATGTGGTGTGTGAGAAGGTGGCCTTCTCCGAGCCGTCGGTGCTCCAGCCAGGGCCCCGCCGATGTACTGCTGCTACTGCCAGCCCTCCGGGAGGTCGGGTTCCAAGGGAGTCCGGCTCTCCTGGCCCGTCGCTGCGGCTGCAGCTGCATCCCCTACCTTGTGCCCACCGCCCCCACACGGGGGCCATGTGAAAAGCAGACCCCTGGAGGCCTAACGGTGGAGGCGGGGGAAAGGTTCCCGAGTCCCTGCCATGGCTGCTGCTGCTGCCCTTGCAGCCCTAGGGACTCGGGAACCAGCCACAGCAGGCCTGCCAAGAGCGGGTGCGGTGCGTGGTTGTGCTCTCCCGGGTGGCTGGCGCCTCTGCCTCGGGCTCCGCGGCCCACCCCATGGCCGTGGCCCCCGGCCGTGCCCCAGGAGAATTTTTAGAAAAGAAATAAGACGTTCCGACCGGTTGGTGAAACGTAGGTACATCTTTCCTGTGTACCTGAAAAAGCACAATGGGAAATTTAAAAAGAAAGTTGAATGACTGTCAGTGCCACGGACTCCGGGAATCAGATTTACACACTTTATGGACGAGTCTTAGGCTGCCCTCCAAAATCCCTGTGTGTATTTGAAGTTTTTTGTCGTCGTTCTCTTTTTTTGTTGTTGTTGGTAGGTGCAGAGGAGAGTGCATCTGTTCTTTGAGCTTGCTTTTTTATGTAGAAACTTAAATTTTTGAGGGTGTCATGCTCCGTGTATAATCGTCCTGGGATAGCAAGTCAACTAAGTAAAAGGTGAAGTGCTTTCTAAAATAGTAAGGCTTAGTAAATAGATGATTTTTCTAATAAGATTTTATAGAAAAAAAAATGTGTATATATCTCTCCAAGATTACAGTTTGCCTGATTGTAATTCTGAAGAAACCCTTTGTTTTTAGCTTAAATGTCATTGACTACAAGAACTTTTAAGTAATGAAAAGATGATGAAAGTCAACTTGGAAGCCCACCTTTTAATATTTGAAACAGTAAACTCTATATAATATTAATATGGTAGGATACCAATATGACTAGAGTAACTGGACAACACCTTAACAAAATTTGTCATATTTGACCACATTTGAGAGCAAATGCTGCTTCCTCACATATTGAGCGCTCATCTTTTCATTCCTTGCTTTTTTGCCTGGGTGAATATGTCCTTAAATAATGGATTCTGTAATTTATAGTAAACATGTCTGTAATCAAGATAAAGTTCTAGGCCCACTTCTGAGGCTTGTTACCAGAAACACCTTGGGTTCTGAAGGAATATTTGAGTTTTGCCCAACGTTAGACCATTTCTTTGGGGTCTGGTAAGACCAGACTGGCTTAATGATCTTCCATATTCCATAAATAACACACCTAGATACAGAATTGGCATAGATCCATAAATCAGGACCTGGAAGAAACTTGGTGTGTTACAATTTTTAAAATGGAACGCATAACCCTGAAAGGTAAGTCCCCTCAGCTCCCCACAAAGTATCCGTAGCATCAGTCACTCAGCGTAGCATTTTCTAAAACTTGTTGGTTAATTGATAAATTATATAATTGATGCTCTCAGATCTCGTGTGCTTTATGTACAGAAAGGGCTGATAGAAATATAGGAGGCTTCTACATTATCTTATTAGCTGTAGGACCCCACTATGAGTTTCAGTTCAGTTTCGTCATCTGTAAAATGGGGATGATAGTGCTTAACTCATGGAGTTGTGAAGCTTAGAGATGATGTATGTAAAGCCCCTAGCATTGTGCCTACACATGGTATGTATGGTTAAATATTAACTATGCATACTAAGATTATGTATATTATTAAATATTTCATGTATATTAAGAGAATAGGTTTTTTATTCCCATGCACAGTGTTGCAGCCAACATGTTCCATTAGTGAGGAGTACAATGGGGGTTTTCATTTACTCATATATAGTGACAAAGTAAGTGCAGTTTGTAGGTAGCCATTTTTAGAGTGAAAGTTATGTAGGAAATTGGTAATTGGGTATCAACAAGTTGCTTATTTTATAGAAGATTTTTTTTTTGTTATGACATTAAAATGTAGTTTGCGGAGTATATTTCAAATGGATTATTTGGAATAAGAGTGTGGCAAATTATTGTAATGATAAATTATTGTAGTATCTTTTAAATTTTACTTAGCCAATATGTGTTTCAAGATCTAGTTTATATAGTTAGTTACTACCCATATTTATTGTGCTACCAGGCAAGCAACAGTTGAACTCTTTTAATATAGAGTTAAGATTAAGAAAGTCATTTGAATTTATGACCGTAGGCTGACTACAGTTTTGTTGGTTTTTAATTTTCATTATTTATCAGTACTTTCGTGTTTCTTTTCTGTGAATCAACATGCTAGACACATGGTTCTTTTCTCCTCCCAGGCACTTTTGAAAGTGTACTGTGTCTTCGCACATAATCATGTCCTTGAAGTTTGTACAGTTAGACAAATTTAAGGTTAGCATGAAAACAGTTCTGTTATGAAGTCTTCTTACAGTAATGCCTGGCCAGGGTTCAAGGCAGCTGCACCTTATGCTAAATAGTGAGCTGAGGTACATAATGTTATGGCAGGCTTCCCAACTTATTAAACCAGTACAATTGGATGCTCCTTCAAGGAGCCTTACATAGCAGCAGCAGTAGAAAATTTTATAAAATTGAAATAAGCTTTTTCAAATACTATGCAGAAGATATGCATTGCCATGCCTTCTTGCCAAGTAATAAAAGAGATTTTCTTGTAGTGGTACTTTAAAATACATAATTATACCCATTTGAATTAATGTTAAATTTTAATTCCTCAAGCTGAGAGTTGATAACACCTATTTTTTCCGTTCTTGAAAATGTTACAGTAATAAACTTTTTAAAAATATTTTTTATTTTTCAATTAACAGTTGACATTAATATCATTTTATATTACTTTCACGTGTACAGCATAGTGGTTAGACATTTATATAATTTACAAAGTGATCCCCTGGTAAAGCTAGTCCCACCTGCCACCATACGTAGTTATTACAATATTATTGACTATATTCCCTGTGCTGTCCTGTGACTATTCTATAACTATCGATTTGTTCTTCTTAGTCCCTTCACCTTTTTCACGCAGTCCCCCACCTGCAACATCCCGCCCATTTGGCAAGGATCAGTTTGTTCTCTGTATCTGAGTCTGTTACTATTTTGTTCATATATTTTGTTCTTCAGTGAACATATAAGTGGTATTTGTCTTTCCCTGTCTGATTTATTTCACTTAGCATAATATCCTCTAGGTCTATTCATGTTGTCATAAATGGTAAGATTTCATTCTTTTTTTTTCGTTCAATAATATTCCATTGTGTATATGTACCACATATTCTTTATCCAGTCATCTATTGCTGGGCATTTAGGTTGCTAGCATATCTTGGTTATTGTAAATAATACTGTAACAAACATAGGGGTGCATATATCTTTTTGAATTAGTCTTTTGAATTTCTTAAGATAAATACCTAGAAGTGGAATTGCTGGTTCATAAGGTAGTTCTATTTTTAATTTTTTGAGGAACTTCCATACTGTTTCCATAGTGGCTGCACCAGCTTGCAATCCCACCAACAGTGCACAAGGATTCCCTTTACTCTATGTCCCCGTCAACACTTGTCTGTTGATTTATTGATAATAGCTACAATAATAAACACTTAAGGCTTGATGGATTTGTAATATGTTGTTGCTATTTTAATTAGAAAATTTCACTGTTAACACTTTCATGATCTATTGTAAATATATTGGGCAGTCTGTGTGTCAAAGAAGTGTGGTTACAAATGGCAGTGAACTTTTCAAATAGTCTTTACAGCTCCAAACCACAGAATCAGAACTATATTTATAGTGACACCTGCATACAGTGATAATTTATTATTTATAACTTAACTAAGCTAAGATAGTTATTGTAAAGAGAAGGGAATATGACTGTTTTTTTCTCAGTATAATAATCTTTTTCTAAAAAAGTAAAATATCTTCCACTTAATCCCTATGAATTCTGATGTTTATTAATAACACAGACATGCAAAAAATCAAATCATATAATCAAACAAAATTTTATTAAGTTAACTTTGCTTCCCCAATAAGGATACATTATGTAACTAAACAAATTTGCTTGTACCTGATAAGACATGAGCATGTGTATCTTTTACAGAATTTAATTCAATTAGTCATTAACTGATAGTTGAAATAAGAGATGAGTTATTTAATCCTGGCTCAAAGCTAGTTCTTTACCGTATTTTCCAGCAATTTGTTTTTGTTTTTAATTCCCAGATTTTATCTTTTAATATTTTGTGTCTTCTTACCTTCTTAGTCTCCACACATGCCTATTAACTTAATTTTTTTTCCTGCAAGCTTCAAAAGCCTACGCTTTATGGTCTGTGTTGTTTTCTCTGCCTTCTGAATTGTAGATTTGTGAATTTTTTCTTAATTTCTACCTGTAACCTCACTTCTCTAGGCAAATGGTGAGATTTTTGAGCCAATTTCATGAATACTAGACCACATAGCATGTTTAAGTGATTGTTCTTATAGCCTACTTGACTAATGTTTTCATCTACAACTCCCTTAGATTACTTCCTCTCCAAAGGAAGTTAAGTATGGAAAATAAACTGTGTTTGTTTTTACTCTTACCTTTCTTCTTGAAAGACAAAAATATTGTCTAAGAGTTTAAAGTACTATAATCTGATTTTGTCCAACTTTAGTTTGATCAGTGATGAATATATATTACTTTTGTGGTCTAGTTGTGCAGTTAACTTCACTAACCTAATACATGAAAGAAGTTCTATAACTGGTATAAAATATCACCTTACAGTATGAGTTAGAAGTTAAACTAACTGCAGATTCACCTTGCTGCCTTGACCCTCACTGAGAAGGGAAACT